GTCCAGCCCCTAAAAAAGCTTCACAGAAGGGAGATCAGGAAGATCTGTCCTCCAATGCATTCCCCTTGATGCCTCCCTCTCGGCATACCAGCAGGAGAGCTGTCTGCAATAACCCACATCCTCTCCTCTCCAGTGGAACGAGCACACATCCCCCAGGAGCTCTGCAAGGCCAGCAAAGCTCTTGGCAGTGTAGTACCTGCGGGTGCCATGCTGTCAGACAGCCAAGAAACAGTTTGTCACAAGGCAACCCCCACATGCAATTTTTGTTCAGGGAACAAATCTACAGGCACAGCATGCTAAGACTTCTGTACCTTGGTGGCAAATCCCCTCCTACCTACCCACTCCCTTACTCTCTTCACACAAAACAGTCTCCACCCTGGACCTCCTCAACACCTTTCCCTTTGTATGAGTTTTTCCAAAATGATCAGAGGAGGTGCCTTTTGTTAGCCAAGCAGCCTTGAAAATTATATTGTTTTCCAAGAAGGAGTTTTACATGCCTTTGATAATCCCAGACAGGATTTATGTAGTTTCTTCTAGTTTCTCGTAATGCTGCAGACACAGGCTTACACAGAAAATTGGCTCAGGAGATAGACAGCCTGTTAGATAAGCTAGAAATTGAGCATTCAGATCCATTAAATAAAGGTCATTGACGGGAAGTCTGGACTCATATTCAGCGCAATAGGAACCCATAAAACCTGAAAGTGACCAGGAAAGAAGCCACCTACAAGCCTGGGTTAGAGCTGTACCAGAAAGGTAAGTGACCTAATAACTGGAAAAATGCCTCAGAACAACATCAGTTATACAGAACTTTGGTACCCTGGGCGACCAATCACTTGCTGGTCTACCTGCTTCCAAAAACAGGAAGCTTCTCTGTGCTCCAAAGAGGAGCAAGTAGGTCTAGGTATTCTTCTCTGTTCCCTCCAAAGTAAAAGGTTTAAGTTTCAGGTTGCTGGGGATTGGTTTTCTTTGGAGGGAGAAGAGGAACAAGAAAATAAATGGACAAAAGTTTTTCACCAGGTCCTATGTCCACATTAAATACAGCCACCAAGCATACATACTATTAAAAACAAACAATACAACATCAACAGAACATGGAGAGATCATCAAGTTAAATCCAACAAGATTTCTGGGAGAGAAAAACCTTAAAAACCTTTGCCTGACAACGATTTTAATAAGGAACCTAGGAATTTTCTCAAGGCAGCCATGTGATTCAGAAAACCAAGGGCTTAGAACTGCTACACACAGTTACTGTGACTTCTTTGTAACAGGTATAACATAATAGTTGAGACAGATACAAATAAGATCAAAACATATGACTCAGACTTCCCACATGAGGAGGACTGATTGAGAAACTGCTGCCCTCTGAAGCCGTTCAGGCCACCAGGAAAGCAGACACACAATAGCTTGCAGAAAGCGGGCCAATCTTAAAATATTAGTATTACAACATGAGGCTTTTCAAGCTGAATTTCTGTAGCTCTGGCAGGCAGGGAGCTAGAAATAGAACACTTTGGATTTAGGATCACACATGCAGAGATCTGTCTGTGCAAAACACCGAAAGCAAGTGCCAGAGAGCATTTGAGCAGAGACCTAGGAAAACTGTTGAAAAGGGGTGGGGGAGAAAGCAATCCCACACACTTGTCAACAAGAAAAAGGAGTAGACTGTTCACTAGCTTTTAAAAAATTACTCCTTTACTACTTCCTGTTGCAGCTTAGGAGCCAGGACACGAATCAATCCTGAAACAGGTAAAACCTTGCTCCCCTGTACAGCAATGGCCAATGTCACATTAGCTGGGAGTGGACTTACTTCAGATGAGAAACCCCTTTGTGATGAGCAAAGTCAGGCAGGTCATTTCCTAGACCAGTGTAAAGGGTACTTTATGCTTCCTTGCATTAAATTTGAATGATTGAATTCAAGTTAAACACTCAGTCTGCTCAAATTGCAGGCAAATAGATTTGAGAGTGCTGGTCAAAGTTAAGGTCTGCTAATGGAAACAGAAAATTGCCCCTCTTCCAAAAGCTTTTGATTTATTTGTTAGTAAATAACATTTTTAAAAGAGAAGCTTTTTTTTTCAGACTGTTTCAGAAATTATGTTTATTCACACTTTAAGGGATTAGAGAAGCAGGAGAATGGGACTGTGCTGCAGCTCTCTCCTAACTGGCAGCATAGAAGTGGAACATACTTATTTTGCAATTGTGGACAAAGAACATTAATAACAGGCCCACCACCAAATCCTTCAGCTTTTCAGCCTAAGCGACAGAACAAGAACAGAACTACCCAATTTCATCTTCTGCAGCACTGTAAGAACATGTATCCTGCAGTGCTTGGCTTTTAATCTCCTCCTCCTAAGCCTTCATTCTGTGTTCAGGTTAAGTATGTTTTGCACCTGCCCAGAATGGGAGCTTCAAAACCCCACCTAAACTGACTGAAGCATTCAACTGACACCACTAACACACAAGCTGCCCATTGCACTGAACAGTGGTAGCAGAAACCTGGATGGAAAAAGAGACATGAGTTTTGAAGCAAGCCTTCTGTGCCAGAAGGTCAATGTGGTGGGAAGGAAATTATGAAAAACTGTGAACTTATTTATTTTCAACACTCTAGCAGAAAGTAACACGCAATTTGATTCTCACCCATAATTTGTACATTCTCATGGGAATTTGGCAAGGTTGCTTTGAAGAAGAAAGTTTGAAGAACTCTTGCAAAAGACACTGCACTATGCCAGATCAAGCAAGCTATCAGTTATTTACATTCATTTCAAAGGACACAAAGAAGCCATTTATTTCCATCATATCTGCACTTTCAGAAAGAAATCAGTTAGGACAGAGCTAGTCCTAACACCAGGGCCTGTCAACACAAACCAACCAGCATAGCTGTTCTGGAGTAAACATTAAAGTATGATCTAACTACTACTAATTAATTCATAGCTACACAGACTATTCCAGGACATAGCGATCTCACAAAGGAACACACATGTTAGGAAGTCATCCTAAACTTCTGCTACTGGGATGTCTCCTAGTGCAAGCAAGAACAGTCCTCTGGCTACCAGGGAAAGAAATTCACACCTTCCAAGCCACCAGGAGCAACTACAAGAAGCCTATTTTAAGCACAAGTTTCAGAAACTATAAGGTGGCATATTTGGCTTAGCCCCACTTGCAGAATTAGAATGCAGACCTAATTCTCCAAGCTATTAAAGGACTCCTAGGTTAACCCACAGGAGTTAATTTAATGCCTTTCAGACAAGGGAAATAAACCAACCACGATAATATTAATTTCCTCAGACACGTTGCTATAAACAAAACTAGAAAAAAACACCAGTCTTGCTACAGGTTAAGAACCCCATCATGCTACCTGGAGTCTGAATTACGGGGTGGAGTGAGGGAGGAGAAGAGCCTGCACATGCAGCCAAATCCATCCTAACCAGCCAACAGTTAAGTGACATAATTAAGCTTCCCAGATCTGAGCTACAGATCCCACAGCACAGAAACCACAGCCAAGGGAGGCTCTCCCTCATCTCTCCTTCAACAGCTCCAACCCAAGTGAGATTTCCCCATCACTACACAGAGGCAGAAAGAGATAAAGAAAACCACTACTGCACTGGTCGGTAAAAAGCAGGAGTACGTTCATCTCCTTCCCATTGAGATTAAATGAAGATGAGGAAACCAGTAGAGTAACCATCCAAATTCCCAAAATTGAGTTAAGCAGGAAGAAAGAGATCAAATGCCATGCTGTCAAAGCTCAGCATGTGGACAAAACAGCACCTGAAATTTAAGTGGCCATTAAAATTTATTACCTTGAAAGACCATTTGCCAATTTACAAAGTTCTTTTCAAGGTAACTTTTTCAGTTGAGAAAAGGTGAACTCAAATATTCCCTGATAGCCTAACTCTGGGGTCAGAGCAGCTGTAAAGATCTCCTCTTTCAGGCAGAACATCTCCCAGGGACTGAGCTGCTCGGCAATACTTTGATCAGATGTCCCTGGGTACAAACAGCTCCGTGGCACTCCAATGGCCTTCAGTTTTCCCGCACAGGAGTCCACACTGCCCATCTGTTTGAAATTTGAACTATTTATTTTAAAGCACTCTCCTCACAAGCTATATAGCAGCATTATTTGGCTTGCAGAGAGGAATAAATTTAAAAAGGAAAACAAAAAAAAAAAGCTTTTGCTTGCAAGAAAGAAAAACACTTCTAAGAGGAATTAAGGTGCATTTGTCAGGTCAACACCTCCTACAATTAAGACGGGCTGGAAAGTCTCAGTCCTGGTCTGATGCAACTAACACACACGCTACACCAGAAAGGCAGAGGTAAAAAGAGTCAGGTCTTTGCTGAGCCTGTGGTCCTAGGGGCAGAGGGAAACCTAGGGGAAAAGTCCTGTAACTCTCAAGAGCAGCACCAACAGGTGCTTTCAAATCTATTTTAAGACCCTGAAGATATTTATGAGCTGCAAGATCAAAGCATCAATCAAAATAACTGGGACACGAGCACAGAGCTGAGGCTGGCCAGCTGACCCTATGAATGGAGCTAAAGCGCCTTGTTTACCTCAGCACGTGTGCACAGGTGACCTGCCCGAGCTGCTCACCCGCTCCTCACTGTCAGGACAGCTGAAAAAGCAGGGAGAAGGCACCGCCGAGGAACCAGCGCAGATTCCCGTCAGTGGTTCTCACTATAATGGACAGATGAGTGGAAAAAGCAAGAAAGAAAACAACCTTGCTTGGCACTGTGCCCACACACACATCCCAGTGCAGTGAGGAAAAGAGGCCAGGGGCACATACCGGCCACATATCAGCTTTCTGTCGGAAAGGGAATGGGCAGATCTGGCAGATACCTAAACACAGGCCACTCTCTGTCTGAAAAGCACCTTCCCAAACCCCTTCCGCAAGCAGGAACCCGAGCAGAGCCTTCTGCAGAGCTCCCTCACCATCCCGGCCAGGGAGCCACGAGAAGGCAGAAGCCCACCAGCGCCGGGCAGAACCCCCACGCCCCCGCCACAGGCACCAGCCCACCTTTCTTGAACTCCTCCAGCATGGCATCGAGCTTGGTGTCGTTGAAGACAAAGTGCAGCGGGTGGTTGTAGAAGCGGGTGATGGTCTTGAGCGGGGTGCAGTCATCAGGGTCCACAAAAGCAAGGTCCTTAACGAAGAGCAGGTCCACGATGTTCGAGCGGTCGCCCTCGAAGACAGGGATGCGGGTGTAACCGCTCTCCATGATCTCAGACATAGTGTTGAAGTCAAGCACAGCCTCAGCAGCAATCATGAAGCAGTCTCGGAGGGGAGTCATCACGTCCTCCACCGTCTTGGTGCGCAGCTCCAGGGCTCCCTGGATGATGTTGAGCTCCTCCTTGACCAGGTCGTTGTAAGGGTCGGTGACCCGCAGCATCTCCAGCAACTTCTCACGGTTATAGACCGTGCCGATCTCCTGGCCCAGGACGCAGTCCAGCAATTTGCTGACGGGATAGGAGGCCGGGAAGGTCATCATCATGAAAAACTTGGTGAGGAAGATGGTGTTGGCGCCCACGGCCAGACCGTGCCGAGAGCAAATGGCCTGCGGCACGATCTCGCCGAAGATGACGATACCGATGGTGGAGACCCCCACGGCCACCAGCCCCGAGCCGGCGATGTCGTCCAGCAGGATGGTGAGCGTGGTGTTGACCAGGACGTTGCCCAGCAGGAGGGAGCAGAGCAGGTAGTTGCCCTGGCGCCGCACGGGCTCGATGCGCTTGGCGTAGTTCTTCTCCTTGTCGGTGCCACAGTTCTGCACGATGCGGAGCTCCATGGGGTCCAGGGCCATCAGGCCCAGGTTGAGGCCACTGAACATACCCGAGAGGCAGAGGAGGAGCGAGATGAAGATGACCTGCAGCCAGAAGGGCAGCAGGAACTTCTTCTCCTCACCCACGATCATCTTGGTGTCCTCGCCGTCGTGGTAGATCCAGGTGGTCTCTCCCCAGGGCGGTTGCGCTCCCGCAGCCCCGGGGCCCAGGGCGGCGGCGGCGGGGGCCGAGACCGAGGTGCACAGGTAGTAGGACTTGCTCTTCTCCGTCTTGCGCAGCGGCTTGATCTCGATCTCGATGATGCCCGAGGTGCGGCGGTTGAGGACGATGTGCAGCAGGATGATGATGTCCGAGGTGCGGATGCCGCAGCGCTGCGGGGCC